GCCACTAAGAATTCATTAAAAGTAAATTTATTGTTTTTTTTTTTTAAAAAACAACTGTGCAATATGTGCTTCTCAAGCCATTTTTGAATCTGGTTTGTTGTTCATCTCTTCTCAGGCTTCAGTTTGGCAAGGCTAAACGAGAAACACGGTACAGACACACAGTTAGTACGTACAGGTAAGGGGAGAAGCGATAGTCAATTGTTTGTTATTCTCTCAAAAGCCTAAAAGGTGTAATCCAACTACAATATTAAGTTTTAAAACCTGATCGTATTCACTGTGTCCTGAAAACTATTATATTCTAAAATGGGAAAGATAGCAGTATATCTGATTTCAACCAAACAAGGTTTCAAACTAAATTATCTATTTCCTCTTACAGAACTGAATAAAACAATGCTGCAGGGACTCAGGTCATCATTTTAAATGTAATTGGAGGATTCGATTTTAATGGTAATTTTGCAACATTATTTTTGCTTTAGCTTTTCATAGCAATAGGCTCTCAGCTATGGACAACAGCACAAATAAATCTGAGACATGCACAATAAGGTCAGTTCTAAGAACCTTCAGCTTTAGAGTGCATACGATTTCAGGACATTCAGATGATAATAATCCTTATTTTTCAGGCAAAATAATATCAAATTGTACTTACTCCAGGGCTGAAAGTAGAGGAATACATAATTTTGAATGCTTACTATCTGAGAATACTGACCTAAATACAGGATTTTCTTATCCTATTGATTATTTCAATTTGGAGATGGAAACTAGGGCAAAAACATGTTGTTTAATAATGGTATTTGTTTAAAAATGAACACATTTAAGACATCAAACAATAGATTTCTCTCCTAAAGTACAGACTTAGTTTCCTCTTTAATGACAATTTCAGACTACTGCAGAATTCTCAGAACCATTTTAGACTATTAAATTTGAATAGCCAAACATCTGAGAATCAAAACATATACGAAGACTCAAAATTTCAGACCCTCTCTCTGCTCTGCACTTTATACTCAGAATGATTATATTAACAAGTCACGTTTACCTGTTTCGTAAGCACACACAGGTTTCTTAGATACAGAGCCATTTTAATTAAGGCAACAGGAGCTCCGTATATGCAAAAGATGTCATACGTACAAGGAGAAATTCATACAAACATGATGCACTTTATATTTGTTATTTGATTCCTTCTAGATGTAAAACTTGCATTAAGGCAAGTTTGTACTTCATGTACTCCATAATTTATAAACAGAGTGAGTCATATGATTCACAACATTCTTTCCTAGAGCTGTTTATCAATAATTAAAGTATCTTTGAGACTACCATTCTATATGTGAAAGAGAAAACCAAGTCATTTGTATACATCAATGAATTAAAAAATACCTACTCAATGTGCCATGATTCCCTGTGGAGGGATTTAAAAAATGTGTTTCATCTATTTGGTCCTCATTAAACTTGACCAAAAATCACAGACACCTTATAGGGGTAGGAATAGAGCGTGTGGGGGTTTTACATATGTGTGGTGGGGGGTAGAGTGGGAGGAAGAAGAGCCAGTGAGCCTATCTGTGAAGGAAAACATATTATTACTTCCTTATGCATCTGAAAATAAAAAGCTCATATGCCTAGAAAGTTAAACTCCCAATAGCTAATGTCCCTTACTCTTAGCCTTTTCTTTCTGTCATCTGAACCAAAAAAACCCAAAAAAAACAAACAAAAAAAACAAATAGAAACAAAATCATAACAACACACACACACACACACACACACACACACACACACACACACACACACATATCCCTGCTTGGTACTTCAGGCCAACATTGGGCAGCTATACTTGAATTTCTTTACACTATTCTAAGAAATGTATATGTACATACACATTTTTATTAAGCTATTTAAAAGCAACCCTGCTACGGAAAACACATCCTCTTTAAAAAACAAAGAGAAAGGAAGCAATTAATTTTAAAATCTTACTATGTTCTCTGTTATTAAAAAAATAAACATAAAAGAATCTACTCGAGAGTCTATTAGTCTCAAATAATTAGATTTAGTAGGTATGGAAGGCAGTTAAAAAATGTTTTGAAAAATCTAACAATTTTTTAAGAGTTTTCTCAAATACTAAAGATATACAATAATGGTATGAAGGAATGATTAAGAGCCAACAGTAAAACAAACAAAATTATTCTAAACTCATATGCAAGGAGCAGTATTTGGCAAGCTGCGATCTTTTCCCAAAGGGATGGAGCACTGGTCTGCAATCAAACAGAAAACAGCCACAATCGAGGGAACTAAACAGGATGCTACAACTCCGCTTAAGAGGTATTTACATTCTCCATGAGGGGAGAAGAGTATGCCACTCCCAAATATGCCCTTTTATAGATATTATTTTAAGCTGGTTATTTTTAAGACATGAAAGACTCAAGAAGAAACTGTGACCTTGCCCCTAACTGCCTAAAAGAATTCAGATAGAGGACTTGCTCCAGGAAGGCAGCTATCATCATAGATAACTGTAGTTTAATATGAACTAGGTATGACACATAGGAAGGAACTTGGCAAGGCCCCTTAGATCAAAGTTTTCTCTGTGTCCCACTGCTAAAGACAGTAGGTCTCCCATTCTTAGGGAACCCCATACATACGTAATAAATTTGGTCATTTTCTCCTGTTAATCTGTCTCATTTTAATTTGATTATTTGTCCATTCAGAAGAACTTAGAAGGGTAGGATAAAATTTATTTTCCTCCCCCACGATGGTGTGTTGCTCTCCTGAGAGAAAAAGCTCAGTTTTATGGAATTCATACACTTCCATGGTGTCTGTACTCCCAACATGGCTGATCTTGAGCTAGCAGCATGATGTCACTGAAGGTGGAGCTGGGAAGAGCTTCACACCAGTGTACATGGCATTGCACCATGCCAATAGTCGGTGTAAATAACCTCAGAAGCAGAGATCATAGTAAATATAATAAAATCATTAAGAAGTGATGAATTGTGAGTATTTTATAGAACTTATTTAATTTTTAGTAATGGTTATGTTTAACAACTTGTTGGCATAATTCTAAAAACTGAACAACTGGCTTTCATAGAAAAACCTTCAGCCCCTGCACCTAAACACAGAAGCTGATTTTCAAGAATACATAGGCCTCCTGTGAAGCTATAGATGGGTCAACTTCATCACAAAGCTGGCTTTCACTACAGGTTATAGGTACAGGCTATAGAATTTTATCTAGAAAAACATCGTTTGTATTTTACGTAACTTTTAGCAAAAAGGGGATTGTGTTATGTTATACTTCAGGGGCCCTTTGAAAAAATATACATTTCCCCACAGCCCCCACACTCTCCAACCATCTGGCCCCCAAAAGAAAACTACCAAAAGGCCTCCCTTCTGGAGCTGTAAGTTATAGAAAAATAATTTATAATTAAAATAATTTCTAAACTAAAAATTTGCTTATTTTCTATTCCATAAGAAGAACAGAGAGCTGTATCAGATAAAGATAAACGTTGGCTGATGGATGAAAATTAACCAGCCATTAGCTTTCCGTAAGATTTCAGGAGAAACCCTGGAAATGAGACTGGGCTCTAAGTCAGAGGTGTAAGTCTCGAGGCAGGCTTAGTCCCCTTCATACTGTCTAATTTATAGGCAATAATAGTATACACTCTTCAAATTTTAATTGATGGACAACGGCCTTGTTTCTGTGTGTTATGTAGGTGCCAGTGTTTTGAGCTGTCAATTTGCATATAAGGAATGAAAAGACCCCTGGCTAACACAGAAACAAATAAAGTGGCAATTAGAGCAATTTCACCCTATAAGTATCCTTGGACATGGAATATAATGAAGAAAGATGATCTGACCGAAAACACATTCAGAAGGATCAGTATGTAAACAAGAAAACTCTAATGTAAAACTATGACAATCCCGATATCTGAAGCGCTGGAAATGCAAATTCAATCATACTTAAATGAAAGCGACACTGCTAACAGGCCAGGCACTGTGCTCTCCCTATCTACAGTTTACTTCTTCCATGCACTTGACCTAATCAGACATCTATGGAACACATCTGTTGTGTTGTGTAGCCTACAGGCTGGGCCATGGGTTCGTGACTTGGCAGGCTTGGCTTATCTATAGCTCCCTCAGTTGCTGAGGCCATCAGCACCATAAGTCAAGAAATTCTGCAAAAAATAAAAACTCACATTTGCACTTAAAAAAAGTAAAAAGGGAGGGCTGTGTTATGCAGGATAACTACTTTTTGAAGAGTTAAGTGGCCATGCTCTGTGTTTTCAAATTTAAACAATCATCTTGATATGTTTAGGGGTCTAATTTATAGAACAATCAAGTAATCTTTTACATGTCCCATTAAATACCCGAATATTATAAATCACCTTAGATGAACATTTATGGGAGAGTTTTAGTGCAACTTCTGAGCAACTTGTCACTTTTATTGTGTAGCAATGATTTGTAAAAAATGATATGCTAAGTAATCCTAGAGTATAATTTAGGGACACAAAAACTGCTGTCAGGAAACAGCCAGAGACTATGTTTAATGAAATCTTTACAGATGAAATAATAAGTATTAAATTAATCAACACCGCCTAATTGAAGCTCGGTTTGTAACATTTTTTATTAGACTTGTTATTAATGAACCTTTAAATGCTACCACTAACTTGAGCTCTCTGTTAAATTTAAATAATGAACCATTGTTCACACTCACAAAAGAACAAACACTGCTTTAATAGCCCTTTGTCTCAATGGGGCTGTTACTCTTAGGCATAGCTAAGATATAGACTCGTCCCTCCTTCTTCTCCACAGTTATTTACATGGTTGGCAAGACATCATTTTTAAGGCTGCTAATATGGTCTGAAATAATGAAAGTGAACACCTTAAGCGAGTAAAAATGCAGTAACCAGGACTGAAATTAGAAAGAATTTTGGTTGACCTCAAAGATCATGTTTTCAAACCTGTGTTTTTAGTATTCACACATATGCTGAAGGATGACCTGCTTCGAGATGGCAGCAACTTACCTGAACATGTCTCCCAGGCCCTTCAGCATCCCCTTCTTGGCTTTCATTTTATCCTTTTCCTTATCTCTGTCTTTCTTCTTCTCTTTTCCAGTTTTATCCTTTCTCCCAGTCTTATCACCTTTCTCTTGGTTTCCATTTATTTGCCTCTCCAGAGAATGTGAAGGCTGGTCACTGGCTGTGGACACGGACTCTCTCCCTGATCTTGAACTTTCTTCTGTGTCTTCTTCCACTTGAAAGAGGGAGAAAAAAGGATAAGGAATGCAATGAACCAAAGGAACAAAAATAAAGAAGCTAAAATAAGTGTGAGTATTTGATTTTCCCACATTTTCTGCTGTATGGCCCTGCCAACAACATGGGTTGCAATGCTGTTCACTTTTGAGTAGAATTGGAACGGACTCTGTGATGTGGACGATTACCGTGCATGTGCGTGTTCCTATGTGAAGATGAGGTCAGAGGAGCAGCATCCCAGCGGGGTGCCGATGCACTCGGGGTAACACCTTCCTTGACACATAGTATGTACTGCTGGGGGGATTGGCTGGCCCTTATCACACAGCACAGACTCCTCAGGGTCTTGTCTACCACATTTGCAAAATGAAAATAAGCAGCCACTCCCCATATGCAACCTCTCTTCCGGGGTAAGGATGAAGCGGACACACTCTGGCCCCTCACTGATATGTTAAACTACGCCATTCACTAGCAGGCACAAAGACTCGTTTCCTCGGGCTCCCAGATATGTCCATGTGTGATTTCTGCACACAGAGGACTGGACCTTCACAGCCTCTGCAACTTTTCTATATATTGTCACTACATAAAGCCAACACCATAAACAGATGGTACTACATGTTCTAATCCTAAATAATTGTGCATGGCAGTCTACACAATGGCAGGTGAACAGAGGTGGATAGAGCCATAAAAATGTGTGATTCAGTAACCTCACACAGAGTTGAACTTTGCAGATCAAAGCTCTGCTTAGCAATAATAATATTCCATCCTTTGAACCAACATTTCATAAACATATGGTCCAAGGGCACTTCAATACCCCAAACTGTTTGCATTTGAAAGAATGACAAGTAACTAGAGTGGGTTTCCACCTACCAAAAGAACTTTAAGAATTTCTATATTAAGTAGGAAGCAAAAGATGTGCATATTAACAGCCATTCTCATAAATCTTTTCTGAGACTAACTGCCTAAGGTTTTCTGACAAATATAATAAGATTTATTGGGGCTTCGAGTTACCCGCTGAATTCTGAGGTAATTGTTTTTTCTGCATCAACAAATAAAGTATGAATCAGTATTTTTTAGAGTGTTCTAATATAGAACCAACTAGAAAAGTTAGGCCTCTTCCCAATCTTTCACAAAGAATTGATCTCTAAATCAAATTAATACATCTTCAAGGGAAATTCAGTCTTGCCTCTCTACTGGCAAGGGGCACTTGAGTTAGCAATATACAATATTAAGAGTATAATAAGACATGTTCGAACATCTCAATATCTCATTCTTCTACTATTCAGTCCTTATACATCTGAGAAGAGACTATCAGTGTCATGGCCACAGCCAAGTAATACATTTTTTTAAAATGCCAGCTATTTACCATAATACTCAAAAAATGTGTAGAATTCTTTTTGTTGACACATTTGATTAAAAACATGAGCCAACATATTTCCCATCCCAGCAGGTCAGACCCTAGGTCCAGCCAAAGAGGAACAATATCACCATATCCAAATCCAGATGGTACTATGAAGGTCATTCAGATTGACTTCTTCCATGACTTGCTGAGGAAACAGAAAGGTCTGGGGCCAGCACACACCCAGTCTGGGGCTCTTTCTACGATTATATTCTTGTACAGTTGTACTTTAGCAAGACCTTCATGCATGTCTTTGATCAACTCTGTGATTGCCAGATTCCACCCCTGTCATAGTGTGTATTTTTGCAATCTATAATCCAGGCACTACACAGTCTGCTCAGAAGATAATTCCAGCAATCTGCAATATATTTCAGAAACTTGTTGTCAATCCTTTGTGGTCATTTAATGCTGTGACTTGTGGCTCATATTGATGAAATCACTCAAGAAGCTAGATCAAACATGCAACAACTCGAGATGGGCGAGCAACCATAGAAATGACATTAGAAAGGCTGACCTCCCTCTGTACTGGGTTATCCAACTGTGAGCCACTCTCTTCCTCCAAGAGACATGGTAGATTTTTAAAAACTTGCTTCTCTTCCTATCTGTCAATTAATCTATAAATAGGAATTTTGTACGTTTCCTGGAAGGAGCCAGTTACAATTTTCAGATGGCCACTGCTAGTGAAAATGTGTAGCCTTGCAAATAAATGCTGAGTTAAGGCTATAAGTTTTTGTGGTCTACACAAAAAGGAATATCCTGGCCTACTGTCCCAAGGGCTTGCTAATTATGTGAGGCCTTTTCAAATGACAACCCCTCAAGAGAATGTAAACAGAGCTTTGACAGTGTTGTAGCATCTTCTCAGTACCATTGACATGGTTGTGATCCATCTGATTGCCAACCACTGCTTCAACCCTTTGGGAAAAAGGTGTGGCCGCAACTTTAAGATAAGAGACCAAATCATTATAAAACAGTTCTCAAATGTTCTTGGGAGCTACAAACCTAAGTTTCTTAGTATACTTGAGTTAAACAGATGGATATTAACGGATTTTCTAAAATTCTGAACATGCAAAACGACTTTTACCTATACTTCCATAGCTCTTTGTACAAACTTTTATGATTGCATTTCTCATATGATATGATTAAATGTCTGTCTCCCTTACTCTAAGCTTCTAAAATGAGGAAAGCTGGGCAGACAGCAGCTGCTCATAAATGGCTGTTTAATGAAAGATTACTGGTAAACCTGACTCATTACTATATCCCAACCAAACAAGCATTAATGCAATCTTTGGGTAGCACCATGTTTCTAGTTTCAGAAAAATGCCTACTCTCCTCTAATCAAGCCTGAAAAAACCAGCCGCATCCCAACTACAGTAACACCAGGAAGGCCCACTGTATAATTGACCCTTGAACAATGCGGGAGTTAGGGGTACCGATCCCCACACAGTTGAAAATTTGCATATAACTTTAGATTCCCCCAAAACTTAACTACTAATAAGCCTACTGTTGATTGGAAGCCTTACCGATTAACATAAACAGTCAATAGATACTTCGTATACTGTATTTTTTATTTATTATTTTACAATAAAATAAGCTGTGTTCTTACAATAAAATTCGTATAAGTAATTTTTTAAGATAAACTAAAGGAAATGTCATAAATAAAATTGTAAGAGAAAATACACTTACAGTACTTATTTATTGAAAAATATCTGTGGGTAAGTAGACTTGTACAATTCAAACCCGTGTTGTTCAAGGGTCAACTGTACTTGGTTTAGCTCTAAATAGTTTCTGGTATATTTTTATGGTATTATTGTTAGTGCTATGTGTATCATCTAATAGATTTTACAACCCTCTCCAAATCTCTGAAACTATAAACAAAAAAACGAGCCCAATAAATGTAAATGACTTAGTCTTCCACAGCAACCATTATCATAAATCATGAATGGAAGTATAAGTAGCGATTCTGCTAGTTTTCTGCCTAATAGTTTTGGCAGAAGTACAAGGGGCATATGTCTGCTCTTGGCTCGGTAACAGAATAAAGGCAGAGCCTTCACAACTAACTATACGCTGAAGTCACATTTGTTGCCAATTCTTTTCATATTCACAATAATTTTTCTGGTGTATATAATACAACTTATTTTCTAAATTGGGTAAAAGAGAAAATTAGTATTAAATCATTTATTAACTTCGGGTTTTGAAACCTCGTTTTATAAAATAAAAAATTCTAGCTCAGATTCCTGCCCCAAGCAAGTGGACTATTTAAGATAATACCTGCACATCTGAGAATTCTTTATGCTTAATTTGAACATTCTAATTTAGATACTACATTATCCCAGATATTCTTCTGGGGGTGTACTGATTTAACTAATCCCTTTGAATGCCAACTAATTAAAAATATTTAGCAATATGTGGTTTCATATGTACAAACATAAGATGTTCTTTTAAAGGATCACATTATATATGCTTCAAACTCTAAAATTATTTGATAGAAAAAAATTAGAATATCTCATTTTACCCTATCCCCATGCAAGATTAATGTGTTTTTTAAAACCTGAAATAAATTGATTACACCCACTTAGTTTTAAAACCAAACTTTGTACATTAAATAGTAGCTTTATAATAAGGTACATAAAATATTTTTATTCCTTTAAAGTAATAAAAAAAATCGTATAAGTAATTTTTTAAGTGAAAAAAGTTACTAGTAATACACTAGCAGTAAATGGCTTGATCTATTGTGTTCATACAGTAAATTACAATGCAAGAACTAATCATAAGTCTACATTTAGATAATTTGCTATTTTAAATGGTATATAAATTTCACATTTTCTTCTCTTTAATTTTGCTCATCTTGACAGATTATCTGCTTTCCTTCTGCAGACAGCCTACACAAAGAAAGATGATTATCTTCTTCCAAACAAATAGGAATTTCTATTTTTGACTAACATTTATCCCTATTTTAACCTCCTCTATGCAATGAACTATCAGCTACTTTCCCATGTGATTACTTATAAAGGCAGATATTCTCAAGTTTCTCTTTTTAAAGAAGGTATAGCGTGAAGCTGCTTATTTTTCTTTAATGTAGCACAGTCATTCTGCAATTAAGACATACCTAATTACCATGTTTTCAACAAATGCAAATGTAGTTCAATTAAAATTCTAGTCCATGTTACAAATTAAGCTATTCAATCCTGCAAGGTATCATGTTAGGACTGGGTCACCAAGAAATTTGGAAAAATTGGACCCTTACATGTTAATGATTATGGAGAAAACGATTTTAGGTTTCAATTGAAATTTAAAATTCTGTAGCTTATGCCATAAATAAATACTTCTGTCTAATAATCACAAACATTTTATTGTCAAAAGTTGACTCTAAGCCCCTTGGTCATTAGTCCCACACCCATCCACCCCGCTCCTGCCTTGAGAAGCAATGCTACCGCTGATCTCTGCTGGTTGCTTGTCCAAAATCCACTTCTCCTTTTCTTCTTCCTAATGGAACTCTGGTTGGGTTCAGAAACATAACCTAGCTCCAAAGGGTGAATTAAGTTTACATAACCTACGAGTGCCTACTCCTGTTGACTTATTAGGCCATTGTTGTTAGTTCCAGAATG